CCCAAAAATCCTGCCATGACCCCACCATCTCTGTGAATTTTAGCGCCGGTTGGAAGTCAGAGTTAACAGCCGTCGTATATATATTCTTTAACGCACAGAATGTTCAAATTAAAATAGCAAGATACCTGCTATTGACCACAACAGTGACCACATGCCCGGCTGGCACAATTGGCTAGCGCGTGAGACTTTTAATCTCAAGGTTCAGAGTTCGAGTCTCTGGTCGGGCGGTTGCTGCCTAACTTTCTTTTTCTTTTTCGATCCAGCTCTTTTTTCCCCCCCTCCTTTTCTTTTTCCCTTGGAGCGTGTTTCTTTTATCGATTGTTGGTTTTTTTTTTAAAATTTTTGAAGGAGAGGAGGGAGGGACGCGCCCGTGGATTTCCAAAAAATCAAGTCACTGTTGCTATCTGCTCCTGGCATCGGTGGTATATACATGTATCCACCAACCTTTTCTCCGGAATGCTCGAGTTCTTGGTTCGTAGGATCCGTCTTTTTGGATCTATGTCGTCTTTTTCACTGCCGCGCTGAAATAATTTATGTTCTTCCTGCCTATCTACATCGCGTCCCAAAAAGCAAGGCCGTGTTTGCGATTGAAGCAGCGTGTTCTCGCTTCTAGTCAGTCGTCTTTTGAGCTTCGGGTTTGCGGAGTCTGGGGTGAGGACTGGGTAAGTAGAGGATGGAGTAAGTACTAGGGATATATAGGGGCAGAGTCAGCGCCGTGCTGTGGCATTATAGTATTCACTAGGAATTTGTAAAGGTAATGCATGTGAAGCATTTGTAGAACAGCATTGGGACATGTGTTGAATGCTAATTGAATGTGAGACACAGGGCTTAGGTCTATTCCGTATCTTTTGGAGACCTTCGCTGTCTTGCGTGCACATCTATCAGAACATTAGACGTACTGTTGGAAGCGCTGCTACGTAGTGCTCTTCACTCAACATGCCTTGATACTTTCTACGAGTAAATATCATATAATAACTTATCAACGTTGCTGAGAAATAACGCCGGGTCTAGTGTGGCGATTGAGCTTCTCATATAGAACCTCGACTGAATAACTGACATACATTTGGGCCACGAGCTTTGGATTATAAAAGGAATCCTGTCACAGGCCAATGTGCACGTTTCAGGCATCGCAGACAGTGTTAACGATTCGACCTCGTACAATGCCTGCTCTTCTGTGCATTGTTTATACAAAGTACCGTTATGTTTCTCAGAACCGTCCGAATACTAAAGTCTTGCAATGGAAACTTCTCGAACACTGGGAAAGCATTCTGGACTCGAAATTTTGAGTGAAATCGCGCTAACGCAACGTAAACACACAACGAAATCCACCACAGCAACCATATCCAAACCCACCACACTTACCCAAACCACCACACTGACCATACAAAATCCACCGCACCAGCCATACCCAACATGTGCCAACTCACCAACCTCCACTTTGCCTGCGGTCACACCCGCAAAGTCCTTCTGGAAGCTTGTCTCTTAGCCACCCGCCTAGCCGGACATGCACTAACCCGCGCTCCAGACTTCTGCCTGAACGGAGTCCATGTCGTCCAGACCATCGAGAAAGAAGAAGACTGTGGCCGCGGCCACGACGGCCTGACCTGCCGCGAAGTCCAGGCCGTCCAACCCCTCATCGACCGCTACAAGACGATGACGACCGACCTTGCGGGCTTCTCTGCGCGGGCCAACACGATCGCAGCGTTCATCAAGATCGGCTTCACACCCGATTGTGACTGGGACGCTGTGAAGGAAGCGGGACGTGACGTGGAAGCCTTCAAGGCGCGCCAGGCGGAGCTCCTGGCTCAGGTCATCCCCGAAGCACTTGCGGAGTTCGAAGCCAGTCTGAAAAATGCGGTGCAGAGACTACAAAAGGTATTCCAATGGAACGAGGCGCACATTGTGTGCAAGGCTCGGGGCACGGAGGACACGCTCGCTCCCGCTCCCTTTGGCCTGGAGAAGTTGGCTGACGAAACTGTGGTCAAGTCCAGCATCGACAACGCGGACGACGACGACGACGACGACGACGACGAGCAAACTTCTAAGATTGGCAATCCGAACCTTTGGGCTGTTGACCTGGCCTTCAAGACCGCGAGGGCGGGGCCGCACCGCCGGCTTCTCTGGCTCGAGGAGCGGGCTGTGGAAGCTTGTCTGGACGGTGCTGGATGGCAGCTCCCCAGGGATGAGAAGGACCGGGCCGAGCTCCAGGATCGGATAGATTGCAGATGGGTTGATCCATCTAAGAAGTAGGGCGGGTCTAGCAAGACGTTATTTGTTTTCATCGGCGTAGCTCAACTGCTTCCTTGTCCCCGAGTTTGATCGATTCAGCCGACCTTGTGTATAGTAGCATAATCAAGGTCGGCAATCATCAATGTTTCTCGGGAACTACTCTTCTACTGTCTTTATAGGCCCTAATTGTAATAACATTTGCACTTTGCAATAATCGTTTGCATTTTAGTGATGTGTACCTCTCGTGTTTGAAGAGAGGATGGTAGGCGAGATCTGTCATTTCTTACGTGACTTGCTTGTTGTCGTTTTTGTTTACTGTTATTCCAAAGTCTAGTTTCCTAGAGGGATGCAGCTGTTCAGGAGTCCTCAGGACAAAGATCTTAGTCGCTACACAACACGCAGTGTTGTAACTTAGTAGGAAGATCTACAGCATAATTCAATAAAGCGTATGTAGAACTCTATCGGCTGATTTTCTTGTTTTTATCTTGCCAAAAACTGTCTAGACAAGGTACTTATACATGGACACATGTTCGACAAAGAGCTGCAGTTAGGCTTGAGTGACGGCTTCCTCGAACATGGTAAGACTTTTTGTCTGTATTAGCTACGATGAAAGATGTCTTATTTTCCCTCATAGTATCTAGGACACCTATATCTACGTCTTATAACCTTGTGAGCTTCCAGCTTTACGACACCGAATCTTTTCTGATGGATGTCGCGTGGAGGACGCGCTAGCCACATAGCGCTAACTGTTTTAGGTAAGCCGATGAACAGGCGAAGTCACCGTGTCATCGATCGCATGTCTCTCAACAATATACCAGAATTTGAGGTGGCAAGTATGCTCTCACTATCATTCAATTCGCTTTCCGCATCCACGAAATGCCTCCCTGGTCTCTAATATCGCCCGCCTCAAGGGGCATCGGCTTCGCATTAGCCAGGAGAGTCCTGCAAACGACGAACGCGCCAGTTGTTGTAACGGGGCGTAAAGACCTCGCAAATATGAAACATGAAATTCTTGAAGGCCTAGATATCGACGAGAAAAGGTTGACGGTTATGGAAGTCGATGTGTTGGGTATGTTGTTTTCACATGGCCGAGATATTATGCAAAGTGATCATTTGAAACAGTACCTGCTTTGGCAAGGCTATCCGCACCGCTCTGAGACATTTCAGCTCAATGTCCGATGTATGAAAATACACTACTTGCCGTGTACTGACTGAGAGTTCGCAGATGAAACTACCATTGCGGATGCAGCTTCCGCTTGCAAGGACAAATTTCCGTCGGGCTCCCATCAACTCCAGCTCGCTTTCATCGTGCCAGGACTGCTATTTCCAGAAAAGTCTCCAGCACAAATAAATGCCGAAGATGCCTTACTAACCTTCCGCACCAATACAATTGGGCCAATGCTCATGCTCAAGCATTTCTCACCTTTCTTGCCCAAAAAGAATGCAGGTCAAGGTGAGATTGGGGAAGACAGAGATTTTAAAGGGCTACCCTCCATCTCTACAACGGCCATCATGTCAGCCCGGGTAGGCAGCATAACGGACAACCGTCTGGGCGGCTGGTACAGCTACCGCGCCTCGAAGGCTGCAGTCAATCAAGTCGTGAAGACATTTGACAATCACCTTCGAACTACTTCAGGAGAAAACGCAATGGCAGTCACTCTGCATCCCGGCACCGTCAAAACCGGACTGAGCAAAGAGTTCTGGGGAAGCGTGAAAAAAGAGAAGCTCTTTGATCGTGATTGGGTAGCTGAGAGGTTGTTCGACGTAGTCAAGAACGTGGGAATCGACGGACGCGGAAAGTGCTGGGATTGGGATGGGAAGGAAGTACCGCCTTGATAGCAATAGCCTACACACAAGCCGATTCTTTCGGTTTCCTTGCGACGTCAAACACCGTCACAGCATAGCCAATTATTTATTGAGCTGATCGATGCAATCCATTCGCTACCTTTTTCGGCTAGTTTCTGTCTATTCTTCAGTCACACCTTTCATCATTTTGACATCCGATCGTTGCTTTATGAACTAGGACAGTTAGAAACCCTCCCTGCTACGCATCGACGCCATACCCCAAACTACCCGTTGTCCGACACCAGAGCCGCAACGAAGATCGCGCAGTTAAGAAAGGCGATTCATTTGGAAGCTCCCTTGGTCTACATCGTGCTTCACTAGTTCAACGTCCGGTTGTACTGCTTTCCAGCCTCCTCGAAACATATTCGACGATCAACAGAGCTCTTCGCAAACATACGAACCCCCACTGATCTTCGATGCCGTGAATCAGATGCTGTATACGTGTACATCTTTTTTAAAGGCTGTAGCACGATGGGGGAAGGCCTTTCAAAAACAGAACAATCCGAATTCAAATCCCGAAGTTCACTCAACCGGACAGAAGGGCGACTCTAAGTGCCACATTCAGAGTTCTGGGAATGGCTCGCGGCAAAGCACAGATGACAGCAATGATGGACGGAGACGCTCCATTTATAAGCCAAGATACGCAGAACGACATATCAAACGGGTCCCTTGGCGTCAACCAAGGAATAGAAACCTCGGAGTTTGGAATCCAGTACTCCACGATACCTCTTTTGAGAGAAAGACTCGCCACACACGGTATCGCATATCCAAGCTGAATCGCAGAACTGGGCGAGTGAAGCGTAGCAGAACATACAGCCTTCGAAACGCGTTCGATCGCCGAGACAATTGTTCGATCCCTAGTACCATTACCGAGAGAAGTTATAGATCCATAGGGCCTTTTGATTCTTCAGGACCAGATGCACTGTATATCGGGCAGTTGAATCCCAGGCATCCTCAGCAGCCTCTCCCCCTTCTTAGCATGCAGAGACCACCACGATCTAGGCGGATGAGTTGGGACCCGGATGAGGGTCCGTCGGTAAGAACCTCTCTTGGAAATTGCCGGAAGGATTCTTTTAATACACCTGAAGATTTCCAACAACTTCAGCAAGATGTGTACTTCAGAATTGGCGAGTTTTCGGCTCAAGACATCACA